AAAAGCTTAAAAATATATTCGACAGAAATTATTAAATTGAATTAAAAATAAAATTTGCAAATAAATTTTCAAAAATATAGCATGACAAAAATATATGTATATCATGTAAGCAAATAATAAAAAAGTAGGTGCAATAAAGAAATACTCAACAAATTTTATTTAGTTTATTTGAAACATGGTTTTCGCAAAAAAAAAATGCTTAATTTTACTATCGATACGATAAAAAATTAAAGCAATAAAAATATAGTCGACTGCATTTATTATTTGGAGTAAAGCTTTCATTTTCGAAATTAACAGTTTTATTTTACCAGTAAGAAAAATCTAGCATGCGAGAAAATTTTATTTAAGTTAAAGTTATTAAAAAAAAAAATATATTAAAAATTCATTCATTTTATTGAAACTTACAATTTTTCCAAAATACTTTGTCCATATTACCTCAATGATATCCATATTTGCATAGATATTTACTATCGTAAGCGCTCTTGCAAACGTAGAAATTCTCACAACTTAACCACAAAGCATGTCATGGTACACAAAAACCTTTCTATGTTTGTATTTACATATATTTATATATATGTATATATTTATATGCATTTATCAATGTATGCACTGAAAGTGTAGCATGACATTGCGGCAATTTAGTTAATAAAATCACTTTTTTACTTTATTTTATTTTCTTGTATGTACATTCATAACCAGCACGGGCCCATGTGTCACTCTTACTTTTCACAGCTGGAAACAATTTGTTTTAAGCACTAAAGCGGACGCTAGCTACCCTCGCACATGAAAAGCTCAGCAAAAACAATAACTTAAATACCTTTAAGTATGTCAAACTGAGCTAACCAAATAAGCTCATGGATTTCATTCCTATGTGTGGGGATGTGTGTGTGTTTGTGTGTTGCAGGTAAACATTAGTGCAGAAGTGTTGTTGGGTAAACTACGCCATTAAATACATGTTTGTTTATAAATAAATAAAAATATTTAGTGGCAACCCCTTCAACCAAGTTATTTAAGTATGTATGTATGTATGTATTTGTGTTTGTGTTATCGTTACTTATTCACACATATAATATGTTACATTGGTGTTTTTATGTGCATGACAGAGGGATTCCTGTAAATATTGCATGGGAGAATGCATATATGTTTGTACATAAGATGATTTGTATATATGTATGCACAATATATGCCGTAAATCTCTCAGCAAACAAGAAACACGAACAATTGAAATGACATTGAAAGCCGCATAACTTTTTCAGGGGTCAGCACTGTGGTAAAATCACTTAGTGAAATATGACAAACAAAGTGAAATTAAAAACATCGCATCGCTCTTGTTGCGGCTGAGGCTGAGTGAAATTGCGGTGCTGCTGCAGGTGACTCAATGAAAATAATGAAAATTAGCCAGTGTGGGCTAGCTAGGGCATATTTTGTTTGTACATTATGAACAGTTATACAATTTACTTGTTTTTTTTTTTTTTTTTTTTTTTTTTTTAGCTTTTTATATATTTTTTTATGTATATGAACTGAACATTGCCAGGCGCGCATTTATTTAATGACGAATTTATTATATACAGGGGTTAATAAACAAATACAAGTGAATTTTTGATTATATTTTATTTTGAGCAGCGATGCTGTCTTGGCGTACTTTAAGCAACAACAACAACAACAACAGGATATCAGAAATTGTTCTGCAGAGGCGAAGGACTCAGCAGGAATGGAGAGTGGAAACGGAACAATTAGACAATAAAGCAAATATTATCGAAATAGTATAGTCACAAATAAAAAAGGTGAAGATTTCTTGGTATTTCCAAAACTAATAATATGTAACAATTGCAGATTTTAATTCTAAAAAAATAGTTTTAAAAAAAAAAAAAATTATGAAAAAATTCTTAAGCAACGCTTAGTAAGGCACTTATATTTGGGAGAAAAATATGAAAAAATTATAAAGATTTATAAACACCAGTTACCAAACAACTTATACAAAAAATCATTTTCGAAAAAAAAGAAAAAATTCCCAAACACCTTTTAGCCCAGTGAACTGTTTAAACCATTAATTTTTTCTAAATATTATAAAAATATTAAATTTTTATTCAAAATTCTCGTATTAATTTGTTAAGATATTTAATTTATTTGTTTAAAAAATGTACATTTATTTTAATTTAAATNTTTTACTTAAAATAAAATAATTAATTTTAATTGTAAATAATTAAAACTATAATTAGCTATGAAATTGTTACTAGCGTTTATGTAAAAAAATTTAAAAGCGTACATTTTACCGTAGTGCAATCCGGCAGTGATGTAAATAAGTAGCAAGAAAGTTTGTAATCATAGATGAATTCACAAGTGGGAAAGCTGCAATGGGAAAATAAAAAAAATGTTATTAAAATAATTTTTTGTTTTCAATTTTATGCAATATACAAGCAATTTTTTTTTAAAAAAGAGTACAATGATTTTGCTCACATAATGGTTCTATGTATGAGCTAAAACAAAGCGAGATAGATATTGGGTTATATATACAATCGATATTATTTCTCTGAAGTTTTAATGTTATAGTCCAAAAATGGGTAAAACCGGGCTGCAATCACGATTGCTTCCCAAATAGCATAAAATTATGAAATTTATCATTTGATGCTTTCCCTTCCTGTGTATAAACAAGAAGCAATTCATATCACGGAATAAAACCTTGAGTTTTCCTAATTTCTTTAGAGCATTCCACTATATGACCAAAAATTGTCCAAATCCATATAAAACTCTTCAAGTCCCTAGGTACCAAATATGTGGACTCCAGTGCGTATAGTTGACTTTTTACCGCAAATATCGATCAATATGTGCCACATATATTTGCAATTCAAGAATAATCCTGACAATGGTATTTCTTTGTCTTGAGTCATGTCAATACTTCCCTTAGGTCGCATGTACTTAAAACAACAATATTCGAACATCCAAGTGTTTTTATTGAACATTTGTCCGCCAAAATGTAAGTCATCTCTAGGAAAATGAGAGTGCGAGTTTTTCTGATAACAGTGATTTTTGTGTCTAAAGTGGATAAGTTGACCTAACTCCTATATAAGAAACATACAACATCCGGGTTACTTTACTCCAAATGTTGAGCGATGTTACCTAAATGAACCTCAGAGAATATTTTATTAATATGTGGCATATTCAAGGTATGCAGTATTGACAGAAATATCTAAAAACCGGTCACTACTATCCCCAACTCCCATATACTATATACTAATGATTTTCGTTTTTCTAACAAACCTTTTGGCGAATATGTCGGTCAGTGAATGTTATAAGTGCATGTATATAGTATATATAGAAATATACATAGCTCGAAATCTCTCCAACCCGATTTTTTTTTTTTTGTGAATTATGGTGATCCTTGGCTTTGATTCAGGCAAATGGAAATAGTACTCGGTGGCACCCATACTTAACCCTTTCTAACTTGTTATCCTATTAAATTTATATTTTTTAGCTTTAAAATTTGAGTTTGAAATAATCTCATAAAAACAGAGTAATCGTTATTGTCTTCAAAATGGAGAGAGTTGGCTTATATTTTTCCAAAAAATGCAAAAACTTGGTTATTTGAATTTTTCGCATACATTTTCGGTATACGTTAAAAATTTTATAGATCTTTTTATTATCTACCTTAGTTTTTTTTTTATATTACCGCAAATCGAGCTAACCGTTTTGGTAACCACTTCCTTCTCGTCTTCCCGACCTCAGATCGTCCGTTTATGCGTTTATCTTTTTATGATTTTTTTTTTGTTTTCAAAAATTATCGGCTTTTGTCATTTTCTAATATATCAAATGTTTGGTATTTCATCTCTAGAAAGCTTACAATTATTCTATTTTTTTTTTACGTTTAAGCACTTTTGATGTACGCGTTTGCTTTATAAAATTCTGTTGAAGAGCAAAACTATTTTGCGTGACTAGTTTGATATTTCACTAAACTAGTTAGGAAAATACCACTTTGCAACTAGTCATGAAAACATACGACTCGTATCAACGATGTCTGAAGCTTGATCAGAAAGATTATAACACAGTTTCTGAGGTATATTCTGTTATTAAAATTCTGCGAGTTTAAGCAATATTTAAATTGACATTGTTTCTTAGAATATAAATTTAAATAGACAAATATGTATCTTTTATAATTATTGAGAAAGCAATATTTCTCTGTCCAAAACGACGCATATTAAGGAATTCAACAAATACAGTTGTTTGTCTATTAGGGATTATCACTCATTCAAAATTAATTAGTTTACAGTATTTGGTTTTACTACATAATTTACTATCACACCCACATAGCTATTTTATTGCAACATATTATTGTCTTACCTACTTTAATTAATATTCACTATTTTTTACCGCTACTATAATTGAAGACATATGGTGTGTTCGATTTGTATTTATCATTTGATGGACTTACTTTATTGTGAAGAACCAAGTACATTTGAAGTTGCACAATATGCCGTAAGGCTTCTTCAATTGCTCCTTCTTGTTGACCATTGTGCTTTGTAAATTATAGCCATCATAACGACGCCAACAGTGATTGAGGTCACCTGAAAGGCAAAATGTCTATTATCTATATTAAATTTATGTTTTATATTATTTTTAATTATTTCTTAAATGTGTGTGTTTCCCAATAATTTTTGCACTCTTATCACTGATATTAATGTAGATGATTTCAAATAAAAAATATATTTATATATGTAAACTAAATTAACAAGTCTTTTTCATTAAGTCACTTTTAAGTTCGAAATAGATTGTGCTCTTTAAGTTAAAACTCGATCGTCGGAAGTCTTACAAGTAAAAGTCCGTGCAAATGTCATACCTCCTCCTATTAACGAGTTCGTTATTGTTTTAATTAATAGTAACAACTAAACCTAAATTTGTATTTTTGTCTAGTAATCAACTCGTAATCAGAACTTATTTTATAGACCAGTGCAGAAGACTTTAAAAATGATAAAAGAAATTCAAGAAATTCATAGTGGATTGAAAAATGAGGTCGAAAAAAGAAAGGTGAGGCTGAATTTTTAAGCGATTTGTAGATTGTATTATTTATTTTTAACATAATTTCACATTTTATGTGAAAAATTCACATAACCAAATTCTGAGTTTCTTAGTTTTATCTTGAAAAGCTAATTTTTTATTTCCCTAACATACTACATTTTTTATTTTGAATATATTTATTTGTTCTGTTTGTAGTAGTCCAATTGTCGGAAAAAAACCGATTTTTAGTCAAAAATCTCACGTCAAAATATCAAATTTTTTAAAGGATGATCTCAGTGTGAAGGTTTTGAAAAATCTATATTTTTTTGGTGCAGTGTTTTTCTTAGAAAGGAAGAGTTTTAAAGACATCTAGTTCAATTTGTAGAGAACATTTCTAACGCCATTCTCTATCCCGCTTTTTTACTTTTTTTATCTTCCCATTCTTTTCTACGTAAACTTTCGAAAAGTGACCAAGTTCGATACTTGCTGTTCAAACCGCCGCCATTTTGTCTATTACGCATATTATTCATTTGAAAGGCATTATGGCCTCAATACAACTAAAATTAAGGTTAACAAAAAAATTTTTTTTTATATAAGTGTATGATTTTTGTAAAATTGTAAATTTTTCGTAAACCATATCGAATATATGTTTTTTATATATTTTTTTAAGAACTCTACATCTTTTTTTATATCAATTTAGATCGCTTCTAATTATATAATTTCATGAAAAATGCGTTTCAAAATAAACTGATTGAACTTATTGAACTAAGCAGCTACCATATAGTCAGTAACTGCAAAAGTCTTTCAACTATTCATTTCAAATTTAGTACGGAATTTTGTAAGGTATTTTTAAACGAAAAAAAAAACGAAAAAAAAAACGAAAAAAAAAAATTATTTTTTATTTTTAATTTTTTTTTAATTTTGTTTGCGAAAGTTAGTTTTCAAGGTTTTATCTATTCGCATAGTCAAAATAATTGATTTGTAAATTTTTCAGATTGTAGTTCCCGAATTCATTGGACGTTCTCATCCCATACACATCCCTTTATCTCATCGGCAATTTGTGGAAACGTATATTTTTACGGGAAAAGTACATAAATCCCTAGGTTAGACGTTGTCTACCTATGATAAAACTTTTATAACGTATATTTTTGTTTGGGTTGAAATTTTAAATCACGGATAGCACATGAGTGGACATGAGTTCGTAATTGTTTCTTCTTCTTGATTCGAGGCTGTTGCTGCGTTTTCATTGGGGGCGTTTTTTTACGTGGCGGGTCCCAACGCCAGCGCACAACCCTATGCAGGGGATGATTCGCCTTCTCACTTTAGCTCGACTTCAAACGGATGTTCTTATTCTACCCAGAGAATACTTGGTCAAGGACCGGAAGTCGTGAGCTGCTTGAGTCAAATTCGGAATTGTTTCTACAATTACATAATTGCTTACAAGTCTCCCTTTATTTATTAAACAACTCGAAAAACAGGTTTTTAAGACTGGAGAAATAAAAAGTATGCAAAACACAAAACTTCGATCCTTTTTCCCAAACATGGCTTCGATGTAGGCAACAGTACTTTGTGACGTATATTTTGTTATAAAAATGTCACTCGATTATTTCTTGAAATTTCTAAAATGATTTTGAACAATTTTTTTTATAATTATCACTTCCTGGAGGCATTAGCATCGGTGCTGGCTAAACCATTTTTTTTTCTACATACCTATATTCGCTTAAATTTTCTAATATATAAATGTTTTGTATTCAAGAATACAAGAATAGACAATATATATTATACCACTCAGAAACCTACGTCTTATATGTCCACCGCGCTCGTGATGATGACGATCACGTCCTTCCAGCTGGCTGCCATGTCCGTTTGTCGCTGCCGCCAGACCGCTGCTGCCACCGCCACCAAGCAAGCGTGCATTTTCATTATAAAAGAACAACGAACTTATGAGCAAAAAGTAAATCACCAAACGCGCCATTGAACGAACACTCAGAGACTAGAAAATATCGGCAGCTGATTTGATTTTTTTCGCACTATTAAATACCGGGCACTAGAATTTAGCATGCACTGTGGTTATAAACACACCGTAATTAATTTTTTGATAACACTTTACCGTATTTTATTTTATTTGTTTTTTAGGTTTTAAGCTTTAATCTTGGAATAGAATTCTTTCTCTTATTTTTTGAATTTTTTTTTTTTTGAAATTATTATTATTATTTTTTTTTTCTACTTTTTTACGCGTTGAATGTCACTACATTGAATTTATCAGCGTGTGGAGGTGTCTTCCTGCGAATCACCACATTAACCGCCTTTCCGACATTTATGCACAGCGAGAGCCACCCCTGTACTGAGCAGCGATTTCCAGCCAACATCGGTGTTGTGTGTGCTTTGGCGAACCAACTGCGGCGACGACTGCTTCTGCGGTTCGCTGGTGGCATCCAAAAACCGCGAAACGATTTACAACTGTTAAACGCCATGAACGCAAATGTAATTGCTACAACGGTAACAACACAGCGGCTACAACAACAAAAAACATAATGGCGTTGCTCGTTAGCAAGGGTGAACAACCACTCAGCCCGCCGCGTTTTAAGTACAAATTACTACCCGATGTGGCAAGTGTGATATTTTTAAAAATAACCGCAGCGAAAACAGCAACAAAAAAAAAAAAAACAAAAAAAAAATTAAGATAAACATCGCTATAAAATATACATATATGTATTTAATCGGAGCGTCGAGAAGCAACACAATTTGTATAGCAAATTGTATGCGAATCTCTGCTGCTTGCCATGTCAACAGTTAGCGCTGCTCATTACAACAACCACACACTCACTCTTACTTTCGCGAAGAGCGCGCGCTTGGCATAGCCACCGCGCCAAAGCTGGCAAACGACTGTCGGCGACGCCGCGCTTTGACTACTTTTCAATGTGAAATATGCTTTTAATGAATGAATATGCTAGTGTTCGAGTGTGTATGTATGTGAGTGTAGGTCTGTGTGTGTGTGGGTAGCTCGGCGCGAAATTAGATCAAGTGTAGAGTGCGCATAAATTTTCGCGAAATGAACGTGTGATCTGATATCCATGGCTGGCAGGCAACACTATGAATCACTACCAAGCACACCCATACCCACACATATAAGCGCATATCTATTCCTACTATGTAAGTATATGTATGTGTGTGGGCGCTTGAAGTTTACCCCTGTTTTCTGCTGCGTGTGCGGAGGAGTAATTGAAATGACATTGATAGTGGGCTGTCGTCATCAAGCGTGGCGATAAGTGCAAAAACAGCGAGCTGCATAATGAGACACACACACACACACAGGTAAACACACCTACGCATTGATACATAAACATATGTGCTTACGACCCACGTTTCAGCAGGTGCCCTGTGTTTACTTAAAAGTAAGTGAATGTGAGGTTATGCTAGCAGTGGCATGCGAACACACACATGGGTAGGCGAGATGCAGGCGAACTTTAGAAATGTTGCACTTTTGAGTGATTTCAAATGCACTCAGGCTTAAATTTTCTGCAGTTGGATTCGTTATGCATGTGAGGTGAAATGCGGCTGTGTTGATTTTTGCAGAAATAACTTCATTTAGCCAGCAGTTGGGCGGATAGTACAGGTGCACACAACCCTTACGCAGTACCTGGATTTGATTTTAGCAGTTTCAGCTAACGGAAACTTCCCTACAATTGTATTTCTGATAAAAGACAGCTTCGCAAAACAATCTGTTTTTGCAACATGGACAAGCGCTTTGATGCGTTCGATACCAGACGAGAATTCGAGCTAGGTGACACCCTTCTTCAATCTACTCCTGGAGAAAATAATTCGAGCTGCAGAACTGAATAGGAAAGTTACTATTTTCTATGAGAGTGTACAGCTGCTGGCATACGCCGATGATATTGATATCATTGGCCTCAACACCCGCGCCGTGTTCTGCTTTCTCCAGACTGGACAAGGAAGCAACACAAATGGGTCTGGCAGTGAACGAGGGCAAGACAAAATATCTCCTGACATCAAACAAACAGTCGCACTCGCGACTTGGCTCCCACGTCACTGTGGACAGTCATAACTTCAAAGTCGACGATAATTTCGTTTATCTTGGAACAAGCATTAGCACCAACAACAGTATCAGCCTTTAAATCCAAGGCAGAACAACTCTTGCCAATAGGTGCTATTGCGGACCGGTTAAGCAATTGAGAAGTAAAGTCTTAACAGTACCTCATAATTCCCGTCCTGCTGTATGGTGCAGAGGCATGGACGATGCCAACATCTGATGAGTAAGCGTTTCGAGTTTTCAAGAGAAAGGTTCTGAAGAAGATTTTTGCTCTTTTGCGTATTGGCAACGGCGAGTATCGCATTCGATGGAACGGTCTGCTGAACGAGATATTTGTCAACATCGACATAGTTCGGCGAATTAAAAGACAGCAGCTACACTGGCTAGGTCATGTCGTCCGAATGGATGAAACACTGCAGCTCTGAGAGTATTCGACGAAGTACTAGTCGGCGGAAGCAGAGGAAGACTTCAACTCCGTTTGTTAGACCAGGTGAAGAAGGTCTTGGCTACATTTGGAATCAAGCACTCGTGTACTACATAATGGCCCTCTATCTGGTATCGCTAAAAACCAAAACTGGTATATGCATGGCTTATTAGTCTAACAAACTAACCTAGCCTAAAAATCTGGCTTAAAATCTCTGAACCAAAACTTGGCACCATTGAAAAAATTGCTTGCCTCATTTCTTTTATGTTTTACTAATAAATTCAAGTGTCTAACTTTTTTTGATACTTTTTAAGTAGAAGTCAGGGATATACTAGATGCCTTGAAACTATTGATAAAAGTCCACGAATGGAAAATTAGTATAATCAAGGATTTCTCTAAATTCTCAGGAGTATAAGTGTTAACGACTGAGCTGTAAAAAATATGTATTACTTCCCTAAACATTTTTGAGCCGGTTACAATATCGGTCGCATTCCATCAAATGTCTGCACTTCCATATTCCCACATGCACAAAAAGTATTTGAATTTTTGTTATGGAAATCGCATTTCTTTTATTTTTAATTTCTTTTGCTGTTGTCCATGCAAATGTAGTTGCAGTTGCGCGAATGTGAAAAGTTTATCAATAATTAAAAGTTTGCAAATGAACTCCAGTTGCGAGCAGTTAACAGGATACTAGAATTCAATGAACTAGGAAAAGCGGAAAAATAATGGAGAGAGTTTGACAATTTGAATTCTACGACAACTTTAGCGTACTTCCGGTTATGTAGTGGGTAATCGAGTTAAATATAGAACAAACAAGTAAGGAGGGGCTAAGTTCTAGTGCAACCGAACATTTTATACCTTTGCAACTTGCAAGAATCATGGCAGGAAAATACTTTAAGGTGTAAAATGTCAATCAGAGGAAGAGAATTCAAGCAATTTTATATATTCATATACATATATATTATATTTTGTATAAATATATATACTATAAACAATATACTGGCCCACATATTCCGTAAAATAATTTAAAAAAAAAAAACGAATTATACATATGTAGTATTAGGTGTTGGGGTAGCATCAACCCGATTTTATTCATTAACTAGTTGATCCGGCCATGTGCTGCTGTGGTATACATTTTATACTATTATTCATATAAGAAACTAATAACACAGTACACATTTTGTTTACGAATAAAGGCGAAAACGTTTGAGGAACAAAATAACGAAATTTAAGCTGCGTTTTCAATGTCTGGTTACCAGCCTTTCTGTCCAGTTAATATAGTCTGCTTAATAGATTATACATCATAAACGTCAACAAATTGTGGGACCGGCCAATGTGTATGGCTAATGGAGATGTCCGCTTAATATCGCATCCATTTAATAGAGCATAATATTTCACTGTATTTTTTTATTTATGAACAGTTTTTACTATCCTATCTTCTAAGTTTGTTCAAGCTGGACACAGTGTGTTATATTGTGCTCAAATCGGTTCAGTAGTTGAGGAGTCCATCGCGGACAAACAATGTGGCACTTATTTTTTATATATAAAGATTATTATCATGCCTGGGTTTCTTTAAGGTACCTCATATACAATCACCGATTATATGGAGGAAAGTCAGCCGGATTTTCGAAAATCCGAATATTAGTTGTATGGGATCTAAGTCAAGTTTTCGCCCAATTTTATCTATTTTAGGCAAAATGATATACTGTTATGAGTAAAATATATGCTGTAATTTTCACCGTGATAACTCAAATATTGGCTAAAGGAAGTATAGATTCGATACAACTTATATTTGATAGACATATATTCTTGTCAGCAAAAGATTCTCTCTGAATTTCAAGGTTTATATCCCAATAGTAGTGGGTAGCGGAACAAAAAGTCTTTTCGTATTTCGTCAATAGATGTCGTTTTGGCAAATTAAATTCGGGGAAATTGAAAAAAAAAGTTACAGTTGTTCAAAAATGAGTGAAAGTAATGATTATTTTGTCTGAGATTCAATAAGATAGCACACTGATTGACCACTAATTAGGGTATGAAGTCTATCAGATGTCTGAAAATTCTTTAATAGGTTTATGCTATAAAGGTTAAGGAAAGTATCGTCGCGTATTAACCATTTTTGGTCCAAGCACATAAGAGCTAAGTGTGAAGTGCTCAACTGATTTTAATAATTATCAGTAGCGGGAGACACAACATTATCATGTAACTATGTCTGACTGGTTTGATTAGGAAGGCTTATCAAATTGATCTATGCTTTTCCCATTCATTAAGTCAGCCATGGGCACCAGCGAGTGTAATCTAAGGAGTAGGCAAAGCTTGATGCTCGAAGCCAAGTTAGAGGGTGAGACAAGTTAAGCTACGAGCTGAGCGAAGACTAGCTAGAGAGCTTTAACGAAGTCAAATAACGCTCAAGAGAGTTCCAATTTGGCTAAGCTGAGGCTTCAGCAAGTTCAAGCTCTCCAAATCTATTTCGTTTATTTTTTAGTGCTATAAACAACCATTAGGTGCAACTAACTATCATACACTGTGCAACACATTGCTATAGTACAAAATTACGCTCAGAAGACACTTCAAATGCATAAAGGAAGACAAAGAGAAAGCAAATAGCGTTTATAACACAAAACTGATTTTTTATGGCATCTCTTTAGTGTTTAGATAATATTTTTTACAAAGTCATC